CGCGCGCGCGCGCGCGCGCGCGTGGCGTGCGTGTGCGTGTGTGTGTGTGTGTGTGTGTGTGTGTGTGTGTGTATGTAAACTAAATAGGGTCGAAACTCGCTCTAGAGCAGATTCTCGATTGATTACTCGTCGACGACGACGAAAAGACGGCGTAAAGGGGGTTGCGTGATAAGAAAACAAAACTCCAAACGTTCGCTTGATTATTTTACATTTAGTGAATTATATTATACAAATGTCACTTAACACTGCACGTTTTTTATTTGTCGATGTCAAGGTTTGAAATTTACATAATTAAATTTAGATTATCGAAATATTTTAGAAGATAATAAATTAATATTTTAATATTATAATAATTAAAATATTTTGAAAAACATGCGTTACTCTTTGAAACTTTTATTTAGAATACTTTTAAAGAACGATCGCATCAATCGAGATATTAAAAATTAAGAAATATTAAAGTTATTTATTGTATACAGAATGTCCACTGTTCAATAGCATCTTTCCTTACTGAAAAATAAGTCGAAAATCCCGAATCTTTTTTCCAATAAGCCTTATAAAAAATATTTTTAAATAAAATTTATCTATCAATTTTTTTGAAACCCGAGAATAATCACTTGAAGTGATTTTTATTTATTTAAGAATGAAAAAAATCAAGCTTATGCTTTTTATTCGTTTAGTTTAATATTTTAAAAATTTCTATTTATTTTTTATAAAAAAAAATGATGAGTAAATTTATATCCCATAATGTCCTCAGATATTAATAAATTAATAATATTCAATGTATTCATAATAATAGTTTTTAAATAAAGTGATTTTGAATAATATCGCAGCTAATTATTTATATAAAATGATATTAGATGACAACTTCCTGGTTAAATGATTTTCTCACTTCGAGGTCGAGCAGGTAGAAAAAGCTATTCTTTATGGTTTTCTTCTCACTTTTTTCGTATGCGGAGTTTTCCATCTGATGCAGGAAAAAGAAAGATAGCAAAATCTAAGGTAGCATGCTTCATTGATGACACAACAATGAATAAAATAAGAGACAAAAGAGGAGAACGTCAAAGTCAAGGAAAACAGGTAGTCTATCGACAAAACTATTGCCATTAAGGATACAACTTCAGTTTAGTTCACTTCGCAGAAGCTAGCAAGTCAAAACTAGCGAGTGAAAGCGTTAATTTTAATAAAATTAGAAAGTTGACTAAAAGTTGTTACTAAAAAAAAAAATCTGTTGTAAGAGAGATTACAAAGAATATTATCTACATATATAAGGTAATACAAAATTTTTGCTTTTATTTTTCTTTTCTATTCTTTTTAAATAAATATATGAATATATAGAATATTGACCAAGCACGTTAAAATATACAAATACGTAATATCAACCATTTATTAATCAGAGATGATCTTTAGCGTTTAATAACTTTTCCTATTTTTTAATTTATATAAATTCAAGAAGATTTGCTTTTGCCTACTGCGTGCTATTATTTTTTACTTTTAACTGGACTTGTAACAAACAAACAAAGTCAGAATTATTTCTCCGTTCCCTAATATATTCATACTCAATAATTAATTGACAATCGTCCAAGAAATTTATTTTGAAAAATATCATATCAAGATCCATAACACGGAATAAACGTCAGTAAGCATAGTCTTATCTGTCTTATCATTAGCTACAGATAATTTTTTTTTTTTTCGTATAGATATAGATGTATAGAAAGTCCCCGTGAGAGGGGGAAGATTCGGACTTTGATTACGCATTACATTACAAGTCCGTTAAAAGTTATGGCATGCAGCCTAAACCAATCTTAAATTTATATAAATCAAAAAAAATAGAAAGAATTATATATATTAGACATCAGAAAGAACCTGATTGACAAAAAATATATATCTATTCGTTCTGTTTTTTTAAAGCGCTATTATCATGCAACTTGGCCCTACGGTGGTAGGATATGGGAACGAAGCCAGTCAATAACGACTGGTCTATGCGCTATTTGTACTTGGTCGTATCGAGGTAATCGATAATAATAATTGCAGTCAACGCGGTATGTCGCGCCGAGGTGGCCCGCTCCGCTCCGCTTGCGAACTGCAAAGTAGTGTGACTACGGCGCGACGAAGTGGGACGAAGCGCAGCGAAGTTACACGAGAACGCAAATCCGACGACCAATGGTGCACGAGGGGCCGGTCGATGGGTGGTCGACGGATCAGGCAGTCGACCTTCGAATACGACCGGCGAAGCTACGCCCATAAACGTAGGTCGCGCGTGGGGTTCGACAGTGGACCCGACGGAGAGGGAACGGACTCGTTGAGAAAGACAGCGATGGACAATGAGTCAGCTGTCAGGCACGCAGGCGTCTCTCAGTATAATTCAGCAACTGGACTAAGTCAACCGAACTCGCGATGAGCACGAATATTGAGGCACGAATACTAGGTAGAGGTGTAGTGTTCGGACACCGGACAGTGACTTGGTGGTCCATTAAAGAAGATTTAGTTTTATTATTTTTTACGAGTAATTTTAAATAAGGAGTACTATCGATCTATCTTATTGTGATAGTAACTGACATCGAAAGAAGAAACAAACAAATTCAAAGAAATTTGAGAGTATATTATATCAATTGTGTGTAACTCTTTTTGGAATTAAAGATTCAGAATGGAAAGAAGAGAAGGAGTGAAGATCGAAGGAATTACAATATCAAAGATTATTTTTGTGAAAATGTGCAAAGTGTTTGGAACAATTCAAATATACATAAATTGAGACGATATTAATTTGTATCTTTCCAAGATACAATAATATTCTGACTGAAAATAAAGTGTTAAGTTAACTTATAAATATCTAATATTTAGTTTAAGTCATAAATCTGATATAATAATATCAATGTTATCGATACACGACCTGAATAGTTGGCTCTGTCCGACATGACATTTCCCGTTTATATTTATTTTAAATAATCCTGTAGAAATTTTATTGGTGAAAGTGTGCCTGTATCGGTTAAACATGACTAGATTTGTTTTAAATCAAGATGTCTCGTATGATTCATGCTCAGGGGCCAGTTTGAATTTGGACGCAAGTTCGAACAAATTCGGATTCGATATGCTCCCATCTCATTATCCTCCGATGTACTATCCGTTTTCCAATACAATTTCACCCGACGTAACAAAGGCCATAAGAGATACCGGGCAACAGATACCTATGCAACAAGAGGAACATATCAAGAGGCCCATGAACGCGTTCATGGTGTGGTCCCGCCAAAAGCGGAAGGAGATCGCGATGGAGAATCCAAAAATGCACAATTCGCAGATTTCAAAGATACTCGGCGCGACTTGGAAGACACTCACCGACGAGGATAAAACCCCTTTCGTCGAGCAGGCGAAGTATCTGCGCAGTCAGCACATGAAGGACTATCCGAATTACAAATATCGACCTCGAAAAAAGTTGAAAGCAGGTTCCGCTGTCAAGTCCGTGTCCGGCATGTGCATCCCTACGAGGCCTTGCACCAGTTTCCCACTATCGTCGGTTTACCCCACGCCGATCGTCACTCCCCCCGCTATACATCATCCGCTGAGCTATCATCCGTATCACGGGACCGTTCATTTCAAGGCAGCGAACCCAAACTCACCGTCCACGTCGGCTACAATCGCTGACGGCAACAATAACGCATCCTTGGATAGTCTATATCATTTCTACTCGATGTCATCGACGGTTGGTAATGCAACTACATTGTCACACCTGAATCCGCTCTTCTCGAGCAGCCATCATACGTTGGGTGCCAACAGCCTCCATTCTCAGCTGATGTTTTCCCCCTCGCCCGGACCTAACAGTGCCGTCGTCAACAATTACGATACTAGTATATCGCAATCTACCTCGTTGCCGATGCAACCCCCTGGGACAACGTCTACCTTAGATCCTGATATGTTTCATAGATTTGATGCGGTAAAAAAATTAATAATTATATCTTCCAAATTACAACCGACATGCGAAATGATTAAAAATATTGTAAAACAATCTCCTCTCCGCTCAAGAAAAATTTCGTCCTATTATTGTTTTGTAATTTTTATTATTTAAATTTCTACTTATCAAAAACCAGACAGAATTTATTTATTAGATTACTCTATTTTTCTGATTCTTTATGACAAAGTGTTACTTTTCTATTTCAAATCTTTCAAACGATCTCTGATGAGTGTACTAAAACAAAAATATAACAACAACTAAGAATTTTTATCTTCTTGCTTGAGCAATTGCTTTATTATTAAGTAATTTAATATATTAATTGGCTTGAATTTCTTAATACGTTAAAAGAAAGACTAGTAAAAGGAAAGAAGCATTGAAAGGAACAAATCTCAAAAAAAATATCTGTATTCAACATTGTCTATTATTTTTGAGTCAATTCATAAAAAAAGAAATTACTTTTGGACATCAACTGATTCGATTCCATCCAATAGTTAGTAGATGTCGGCAATGTCGTCTCGCTGTTAACGAGGCGGATAATTGAATTAGCATATTAATGCGACAGAACAATGGAGTCGTTTAGGCCCGGATTCGTTTTGTCTCGTCCAATGGGTTTTATTGTAGAGTACGGTTTCTGATGAATAGCCACAGCCTAACCCTCCACGAGGTGCCGCGTTGTTTCCAAATAATGTTTCCTAATTATGGATGCACTTTTAAGTAATCTAGCCTGCAACAAGGGCAATAATTATTTATCAAACGTATCAAATAAGAAAAATAAATAAATTAATTGTAAAAAATATCATATAATTTAATGATTAATTTTATAAATTATATTACATGTGTATCGGCAGGCGATTTGACTATCAGAGAAAATATTTATTTAGATGTTATATGCTACAAATTTGACAAACAAATTTTAACTATTTTAATTATTCTTTACTTATTTTAATTCAATTTTCTTTACTCGTACAATTCTTTTTACAATTCTTATTTTACAATTTTATATATTTTATATATAATAATTCTGAGTCGGAGA